CCCCAAAACCCCAAAACCCCAAAACCCCAAAACCCCTACCAACTAAAATAATTTAAATGGAGTCTTCAGCGCTATCCCAAATTGTCATTCTTAAGCACATCAGTGGGAATAAGATTCTTAAAGTTGTACCAACAGGGATGATACAACTTTGTAGAGAAGTTTCAAAGCATTTCCCAAAGATTGAGGAATATAGTCTCACTTATTACTCTCCTGATAAAATCGAAAAATAAAATTACAAATTCATCTGATTACAGCCAAGGTAAAAACGGGATTTAAATACCATATAGCTCTAACAGAATGAGAGAGTCAGTTTGCAATACACATTTACATAAAGTCAGTCGCCTCTAGAGCTCCCATCAGAGATAGAGATTTCTGAAGCAAATAGGCTTTCAAGTAATGATTCATTTGAAGAAGACTCAACAAAATCATTTGAGAATAAATCTGGAGATACCTCTGAAAAAGTCTCTATCGTCTCAAATTTGACAGAGAAACCCTTCACTGCAATGATCTCAGGGAAAAGAGCTGCAGATCTTTCACATTCAAATTATGATAGAACCAGTGTGTCTTCTATCTGACAGAGAAGAGAGAATATGTTACTGCCTAAATGCCAGCAGACATCGGATAATATCTCAAACTACTCTTTTGAAGTTGTTGGATATGTAGCTGATCCAAAAATTAGTATCCCACAAAAGTCTAAAATTAAATCAGCTTATAGAGAATTACAGAAAATGGCTGTTGTTAAGAAAATCATAACAAGTAGCTCTGAAGTGACCATCAAGGTCGTTAATAATGCTGTATACTCTTGGCCAGATGATGTCTATCTCAAATTTAATAATAAAGAAATCAAAGCAGGCTCTCTGAAATTTAATAAAACTAAAACTTTTACTGTCGAGAAATGAAAGCTAATCCAGCTTATCAGCCGAAAATATGGGCAAATAGGAAAAGATATCAACATAACATAATTCAACACCTCTTTGAATTTTAGGGGTTTTGGGGTTTTGGGGTTTTGGGGTTTTGGGG